TGTGGTGTTGAGGAAGTAATGTACTAACTTCTTCTATTGTAAAACTATTGCTAAATTTTTATAACAAAAATACTATCTCTGTGATCATTATCAACAGCCACAATTAATGTGTGTTTTTCAAATTTTATGCTTTCTATTCTTTCTTACAGGGAGGAAAATGTGGTATTTTTGGTGCCAATTGCCCAGAATGGATTATAAGCATGGAGGTATGGTTATTCTGGCATGATTTTGTCTGATTCCATGGTGACGTCTCCAGTTGCTTGGATGTCACTGTAACTTGTTTCTGTTGAGCATACTCCTTGCTACCAAAGTACTTATTGCCCAAAAAGTACACTAATTCAACAACTTTGATGCAGGCCTGCAATGCTCATGGACTCTATTGTGTTCCTTTATATGACACTTTAGGTATTTCTTCTTGAGAACCTACAAAAGCATGCTCTGAATTTTGTTAAATCACTACTTTCAGCAAACAAAAATCCTATTTGTGTTATGTAGGCTTCTTCATTTTTAAATATGGTTATATCCTGTTATTTATAACATCTTTAAACTTTTTTAATTATGTGTGCATCTCAACATCACATGCATACTCTTTATAAATGTTTGATCCTTTGCCATCTATGTTTCAGGTGCCGGTGCTGTGGAGTTTATCATATGCCATGCAGAAGTTTCAATTGCTTTTGTAGAGGAAAAGAAGATTAATGAGGTATGCATAATTACATCTATATTTTTTCCAGGTATTTGCAAAAATAAGATCTCTTTGTACAAAATAGAGTTGTGGTTTTTCTTTTTTTTTTTTGGCATCTGCTTCTATACATGCCGCTCAGTTTTGTGTAGTTGGTGTCGATCTGAAAATTTTAGTTACATAGTTAAGGATTGTTTTTTTCTCATGTATGGTTTCTCTTTGGCCCTTCAGCTGCTTAAAACATGTCCAAACTCAACAAAATACTTGAGAAGTAAGTCATCTATTTTATTGATTTTGGATAGGGGGTTGGGGAGAATATTTTTCTTGTTATAGTGTGTTAGAATCAACTAAAATGTGCATGCATGTTTCCTATGCAGCAATTGTTAGCTTTGGGAAGGTAACACCTGAGCAGAAGGCAGAAGCTGAGAAGTATGGTTTGGTGATATATGCTTGGGAAGAATTTTTGCAATTGGTAGGCTACTTGATCTGTTTTCTCCTCTTGAATTTATCAGTAAATGATTTTATACGGTGGAAGTTATTGTGTCTTTATTAGCAAACTGCCAGCCATGTTCGTTATGAGTTCAGAGAAACGCATCTAGCTGTGGAAAACATGTTTCTGGCATTGCATTGCAAATCTTTAATATGAGCGAAGGATCCATTACATTTTCACGCATGATCCTGTATATTATGTCCATGGTTTCTGGGAATGATTTATCATTCATGACTGAACTGTAGACTATCAAAAGTGATGATCTCTGAACTTGTTAATTTTAGCATCTTGACTCTATAGATATGAGTTGTCATTGTCTTTGTATTCATTTTGATCAAGGATGCTCAAGCAACTTCCAAACTCTGTTTTATAGAAATTATTTGATAGCCACATGTCATGCATATTTGATAATTGTTTAATTTGCTTCTTTAATGCTAGTTACCATTATCACATTAACCATGTGTTCATGTCCGTTTCTTGCAGGGAGAAAATAAACAATTTGATCTTCCAGTGAAGACGAAAAGTGATATCTGCACAATAATGTATACTAGTGGAACAACTGGTGATCCCAAGGGAGTATTGATTTCAAATGATAGTATTGTTACTCTTATAGCAGGGGTGAAACGTCTGCTGGACAGTGTAAATGAACAGGTGATTTTTCTCCCCACACTAGATTTTGACATATGAGTTTTCTCTTTTTTTGCTTTCCCTCTCTCATTTGTTTATTTCTTGGGAATTTTACAGTTGACTGTGAAGGATGTATATCTGTCTTATCTTCCCCTTGCACATATCTTTGACCGGGTGATTGAGGAGTTATTTATTTCCCACGGTGCCTCAATAGGATTCTGGCGTGGGGTGAGCTAGATTATCTGATATTGTGTCAACAAATAAGGGTTTATTCAAAACAGTAATTGCTTATTTATTACATCTTCAGGATGTGAAACTATTGGTTGAAGATATTGGGGAGCTAAAGCCAAGTATCTTCTGTGCTGTTCCCCGTGTGTTAGATAGAATCTATTCAGGTAAACTTTCTTATATTCGTGAATGTTCTGAGCAGATTGATTTCCAGCATTTTTCTAAACATGTATAAAGGTATTGAAGGGGCTTTCTGAACCTCGATTAGCAATGTCAATTTGGGTTTGTTAAGGTTACAGATACGCAACCTGGAACATGTACTTGCTAGAGAATTCATCCTAATTTATGTATTTTTTCTTTTGGGGTTGGAAATGTCATTGTTAAATTATATTATAGGCAGTTTTCTTTAAAAAAAAATCTGCAATGCATTATCAGCTGTGAGACTGTCATAACTTTTGTCACATTACCAGGTTTACTACAGAAGATTTCTGCAGGAGGCTTATTGAAAAAGAAGTTGTTTGATCTAGCTTACTCATAGTAAGTTACATTCATTTTTTCAGTTTGCTTATGTGAAGCAGTTCATTGTTACATTCATTATATCTGCTAATAATTTTTTTTTTGAAAAGTGGGTTAAAGAAGATAATTAGTTTCACCACTACCGCTTCACTGGAATTAAGGACAAAGGATATATTGCCTTTCATCTCTTTCCTTGTAGATGAAACTAGAATTTTCTCAAATCCTTTATCATGAGCTTTTGCATTAGTTGATATTGATTTGCAGTCTGTCATTGCAATTCTTGTTTCTGTGTTTAGCAGAGTTACCTAATTGGGATTTTGTTGGCTTTGATTTTTACCTATTTCTGTTAATGCCAGTTGATGTCAATGTTTCTGTTTGGTTCTGACATCTATGATAACTCCTACAGCAAATTTTATAACATGAGGAAGGGGCGCAATCATGGAGAGGCATCTCCAATTTGTGACAAAATCGTGTTTAGTAAGGTGATGAAAGTTTCATTGTTATAATACACACAGGGCTCCTTGTATACTGGTCTAAAGCCAAAAATAAACCACATTACCTGCAAGACAAAACCTGTTGACCACGTAAATCTCATTCGTATTAATAATTTTCTCAGGTAAAGCAAGGATTGGGAGGGAGAGTGCGGCTTATTCTATCTGGAGCGGCACCTCTTTCTGCTCATGTAGAAGAGTTCCTGCGAGTGGTGGCATGTTGTCATGTTCTGCAAGGATATGGTATACTGTCTTTGAAATTAGCCTTTGAACATGTAATATTTCCTTTTTCTTTACTATTGTGGACACTTGCTGCAAAATGAATGTTGATCTATTTTATATCAATGTGAATGTAGGTCTGACAGAGAGTTGTGCGGGGACTTTTGTCTCATTACCAAATGAATTGTCAATGCTTGGTACTGTGGGGCCTCCTGTACCAAATGTAGATATACGCCTAGAATCTGTTCCAGAAATGGGATATGATGCCCTTGCAAGCACACCACGTGGAGAAATTTGTATCAAGGGAAAAACGCTATTCTCAGGGTACTACAAACGTGAAGACCTTTCCAATGAGGTCATGGTTGATGGGTGGTTCCACACAGGTCTGCCGGTGCTTTTACTCTTCTCAAATTGAGGTTCTCTGTATCATTAGTTTATCTCCAAGTTGACCTCCTTTCATCTTTGTGCATTAGGCGATATTGGTGAATGGCAACCGAATGGAAGCATGAAAGTTATTGATCGAAAGAAGAATATTTTTAAGCTTTCACAAGGAGAATATGTTGCGGTTGAGAACCTGGAGAATATTTACGGTTTTGTGTCTGATATTGATTCGGTATGCCTTTTTGCCCTTGTCAATACATCCGCATGCATTGCTTATCTCTTCATCTCTGTGCAGCCATGTACCTGATCTCGGAATTAAATGTTCGATTGACATTGAAACAATCCTATGTTGCATTCCTTGTGTAGCTCTATGTTTTACACTCAGTTGGATATTTTTTCACGATTATATATGTATGCTAGATATAAGCTGGAGTGTTCAGCATTCTTTTAACACCCGGTTACCATCTTTATCAATTTTCAGATATGGGTTTATGGTAACAGCTTCGAGTCCTTCCTTGTTGCTGTTGTTAACCCGAATAAGCAAGCACTGGAACGCTGGGCTGCTGAGAATGGGGTGGGTGGTGACTTTGATTCCCTCTGTCAAAACCCCAAGGCCGAAGAGTACATACTTGGGGAGCTCTCAAAGATTGGCAAAGAGAAAAAGGTTTGTTAATTCATACTTTTTTATTTTCCAATTTCCATAAAACAAAATGGAAATTAGGCTTCATATCCCTCCCTCGTGTTATTCTTATACAGCTGAAAGGTTTTGAATTTATAAAAGCCGTTCATCTCGACCCTGAGCCATTTGACATTGAGCGTGACCTCCTCACCCCAACGTATAAGAAGAAGAGGCCTCAATTACTTAAATATTATCAGGTTGCTATGTTTCTTGCCTTCATTTTGTTTAGCTTTGTAGTATCTCTCTCTCTCTCTCTCTCCGAGGACTGACCAAATTCCTGTTGAATGCAGAATGTAATTGACAACATGTACAAGGCTGCAAGCAAGCCAAATGCTTGACAAAAATAATTCCGATGGAGGTGGTTCAGCGTTTCAGAATTATGGTGTTAACAATTTCTTCGCTTTTCTTTTGGGTGGTTGGGACTGTAAATATAGTTTCATCATGTTCAAATTTGTTTAACCCATACTGTAATTCCCTTCAGGGAACCACGCAAAACGTCACATACAGGTGTTTATTTGAACAAGATTAATTACTCATATGCTCCTTCAGTTCCCAAATTTGCACTTTAAATTAATCTTCTCCCTCGATTTCTTTTATAGTATTGAAACAGTTTACTCAGCATTGAAATTACTAAAAATAAAACATCTTACAACATACAATTGCAGAGACATGGATACGATAACAACATGCATAGGGAAAATTATTCCTTGTTTTAATGGAATTAATTCAATCGATCTGATTGTAGCTTGGGTATTTCCATACCTGAATCATGGGGAGACTTGAGAGATAACGGTGAAAACTGTAGTGAAAGTAGCTCCTCTCTGCTATACTTCAATCTTTGATCTATTTCGGAAAACAAAACAAGAAAGAAAAAAACCAAAGGAGTTTTAGATAATAAAAGAGACTCAATATTTATGCTTAACAGAAAACCATTGGGGAAAGTCCACTCACCTACAAAAAACTGAGAGATCGGCACTTTTCCCTGCCCTTGAGAAGTCTTCAAAGGCGGTTGTGATGGGGATGCGTGATTAGAAATATTTGGCTGCTCTGTTGAAAGGATTTGAACAACTTCATGCCTTATCTCAACTTGAGGATGTTTCCTTATGAAGGATGCGATTGCATCTTCACTTAAAAGCCAACAACCCATCAGGTCCAGCATTCTCAGTGTTGTTGGTGGGCTAAATGTATCCAGGCCGCTATTTGTTAACACAGCTTCGCAGACACGAAGGTTCGTCAGCTTTGGGAGAGATGAAAGATGATGCAAGGTGGCATCTGTAAGGGAAGCACATTTTAGAGATAAATGGCCCAGTTCGTTGCAACTTGACAAAGGGTATAAATCCGGATCCCTGACTTGCGTATGCTCCAAGTTTAAGCTCTCCAAATACCTAAGATTTTGAAGTGCTGCTAGTGTGCTATCCATATGTAACTCAGTGCCTGGCTGGTGAATATAACCTGGAAGTTGCAAAAGAAACGTTACACATCAAAAGTACATGCCAAGGGTAAATAAATTGTTAAGAGTCTACTAACAAAGAACAAAAGCAAAAGCAACACTAAGCCAACAAAGGACCGTAAAAGAATCATGAATATGGTAATTTTCATGATTAATTCAAACAGGTAACAACTTTAAGATTTGTGTTAAGAAACCATACCTTTAATGTTTGTGTTGCTTAGGTCAATAACTTTAAGTGAGGGCATTGAGCTGACATATGATAAGGCAACATCATCTATTGATGTGTGAGATAAAGATAAAAATTCAAGTTTGGGAACATGTCCAGCTAAAATTGCTATCCCAGCAGAGCTGACTTTCGTGCCACTTAGATTTAGAATTTTCAGACTTGCTCCAATACATACAATTAGTTCAACAGAATCATCCCCCATCATGCTAGAGCTAAGATCCAAATGTTCGAGCATTTTCATATCAGGTAAAAAGCAGAACCAGTTAAGGGAAGAGTTGGATACATCCAACAAGGATAAGAAACGTGTTTCAATATATAAGAAGGCTTCAGCCTCATTCAGGAAAGTTGCTCCAGCAAAAATAAGCTTCACTAAAGGAGCTTTATCACCATCGTCTTCAAGGATAGAATCAATGGTACAATTACTCATGTTTAAACATTCAAGAGATGACAGATTTGGCAAAATTGTAACATTGGTCCAAGCTAGATTGAGGAAGCTCAGCTTGGAGAACCTTTGAAGAACCAAAGCCCCTTTGTTAGATATTTTACTCCCCCAAAGATCAAGGAATTGTAGCTTTGTCAATCCCTAAAACAAAACAGCAACACAAATCATTTTAACCTGGATACTTTACCCTAAAAATTAACACTAACTTAATATTTCAGAAGCAATGTTTCAAAATGAAAAAGGCTGGAACCACCAAAATTGAACTAAAAATAACAATCTATGGTAATGGACATAAAACCAAGCTCATTTAGTTTTACAAAGTTACACAATTCAACAGCAACTGAGACACCCCAGCTCTCGGTGGGTTATTGTTATTATTATTATTATTTTTTTGACAAGTCTCAGTGGGTTATTACTATCACAAAGTTTAGGAAGTGGTACTAATAACTAGAAAATTCAAAAGGTCTAGATCATTCAGTTATTAAGATGGTTTGGAAATACTTGTGGATTATTTCATCCTTGAGCAAATTGCAATAAATAAGGTAAACGTTTCAAGCAAGAATAGGGAACAAATGGATACACACACACACACAGACTGGAAAGTACCTGGAGAGAATTCAACACGGTATCCGTGACAGGCAAACCACCCAAGTCTAATACAGACAAATTCTTAAGTGAAGAGAGTAGCGCAACCCCATTGGCAGTGATGCGAGTTTCTGAAATCCATAACTTTTCCAAAGTTGAAATGGATATAAGATGCCTAATGCCAGCATCAGTAACCTTCATGCATCGTGAAAGGTCCACCTCCTTCAAACTACTCATCCCTAAAACCAGAAAATCCACTACACATATATTAAAGAGAACTCTCTACAGGTTACAATTAAATCAGTAATAGCTTATCAACATGATGAAATTGAACTTTGATTTCCACTTCTCACCTCAATTATTCTAGTTAATGCGTTTAAAATTGTGTAAATTATTTACAGATAACTGAAAATCGACTTCCTTATAATTGCTATGGCATATTTATAAACAAAAAAAGTAAAAATATAAATTAAAACATACCTACTAAGGACCAAAGAGCAGAATTATTAATTCTATGACAATCGGCGAGATTGAGGGATCGTAGATAACGAAATGCGCCTAAATACGCCATCCATTCTGCATCTACACAATTCTCTCCTCTAAGATCTATCTCCTCCACACTATACTTGAATACTCTGCATTATAATATTAATAATGGTGATAATCAATCTACCTTAAAACGGGACCAGATTATAAACTTTAAAAATAAAATACACAACTTACACTTCACAGCTAGTTTAGAAAACGTAACTCTTGAGCAAGAGAAATCAAGAAACGAATTCAAATTAATTAAAAAGAATAAAAAAAACTAAATATATAAAAACTTCTTCAAAATTTTGACGGCATAATAACGTACTCGAGTAAGGAAGGGAAGAGGATGCGGGAACGGAGGAGGTTTTGAAGGAGAGATTGAGAAAGGTGAGAAGGTAATCGCTCCAGAGTTCTTCTTTGTCTCCGCCATTTCTCTACGCTCTCTCTGCTTCGGCAAGCTGCTTCTATGCATCGCCGAACCAACTCGCTCTCTTTCTCCATTCCCATTTTTTTTTCTCTATTCAATTTTGATGGATCTTCGCTCTCGCTTTCCTGCTTTGATCTTCAACCTTGATCGTTGGAATTTGTATACAAAGAGAAAACAACCATCCAAGTCAGAGCTCTGTTTGCTTTGCTGAAAGAAAATGTTCAATTATTAAAGGCGGTGGAGGTGTTCACATTTGGCCTGGGCTGAGTGCATTGGGCCCAACAATTATGAGATCCATTAGCAAGGTTGAAGATGAACCCATACTGACCAAGGTCGTTTTCTTCTTTAATTATTGGGCCTGGTGTGGCCCAACAAAACCTAAGCCCACAAACCAAAAAAGATATTTATATGCAATTTTCCGATTTAAATTGAATATTAATTTTTAATTAGTTTTAAAAATTAATAAAAATGATTTTAAATTATTGCATTTAATATTTTTAAAAAAATTAAAATTGATAAATCATAATTTTTAACGTCAAAGTAAAATTTAAAATCAATAGCAATACTTTTAACTAATTTTTTTTCATTTTTATCTCAAGTGAAACATCAGGCTATGAAATCTAAAATGTTTCTCCATTTATCTCAAGCACGGTTCATAGCTTCATATATAAAGAGGTATCTAACCATTACTTCCACATGTACGTATTAATTAACCGAAAATAAACTGTTGACTCCATGAATTGTCTTACGCCTTGAAAGGGTGTAAGATAATTTCCAAAACACAAGCTCTCTACCATCTCGACTTTTTTCTTCCTTTCCCCTCCTTGTGTTGTGATCCTCCCTGTCCCAATCCATTTTCTATCGCACTTGATCTGCTACTTCTCGTTCCTCCTCCCGCTATTGCTGACCGCATCACAAATCTTATTGACCAGCAACCTTTCCTTCTTTACACTCTTTCTTTCTCTTATTTTGCTCTCAAAACAAATGTCTCTCTCTCCTATTGTAGCGGCCTGCACCTTCACTCTCTTTCTTTTCCATTTTTCTTCTTTTATCTCTTTTTTTTTTTAATTTGGGACAGATGGGTTTTTGCTTCCAGATTTGTACTTCCATCTCAAATGTTTGATTAAAATATAAATGCTGTTTTAGTTCTAAATTTTATTGTTTGAGAAAAAAAATAAAAATACGCTCTATGATCAAATTTTTTCAAAAGTTTTTATCGAAGTTAATGAATGAGCTGATAATAGAATTAATTTTACTCAATATTGGTTAACTATAATCAATCTTTCAAAAAAAGTTTTGTTTAAGATGAGTAATCTTTCCTTTTTTTTTTATTATATTTGGATAATATTTATTGAGTTTAATTAAATCAGTGACGTATTTTTTTTAAATCATAATGTTTTTAAATGTTTTTTAAGAAAATTTTTGGAGATAATTTTTTTTTTAAAACGAATAGCGAAAAATATTCTTTATAAGACAATCCAAACAATAAAAAAATTATTTTCAACAACTTATTTTATAATTACCAATCAGATATTAAATAGAAAGCCGACTTTCTGTATATAGCATGCACTAATTGCTTAGAAAAATGAAAAATTTTCAATTCCGAAGGGTGACTCAATGTCGGTGTTCATTCCAACCATATCCGACCATGTTGGAAGGTTGGGATGCCACTGGGGGTCTATTTTTAGAAGAACAGACAATGATTTTCTGAATTGTCTGCCCATAGATTTAAAAATATTACCTTTGTTTGTCAGTGTTTGAAAGAATCCGCTCCAAGTTAGAATGATCTCATAACTTTTTTCATTTCTAACACAAGTGCCAACTGTGGATAAGAGCAAATTCAAGACATTTGTATTCATGTGTATGGTAGGGGGCAGGGGGATTCATAGCAAAATCTCATTAGTTGTCATTGCATAAGGTCATATATATGACCTGATAAACATGCAAACATTCAACACAAACAACATGCAAAACCGAATAAACATGTCCAGTATATTATATATAAGAAAAACCCAGATAATTCAAAGTTGTAAACAGTTAAAAATGAAGATCGAAAAAATATGCTGTATTTCGATGGTTACCAAAGGATTCTTGGGGTGTAATTCCATGTTAAGCTCATTGACGAACCAGGTGAACTGCGGCTTGGAGTTTCTGGCACGGTTGTCAATGAGAGAAACAAATTGCGGCTCGTGTATCAGATCAATAAGCTACTGGGAGCAGACCACAATCTATGAAACCATCTGCCGTCAATATTGGCATGAAAAGCTGTCAACCAGAATCTTTCTTTTCTTTGTATCATGTCCTAAAATTTGGCATTGGTCCCGAAACCATGTCCCAAGCCAACAATCAAAGCACTCCAACTGTACAATGTTTTACGACAAAGTTTGTGGGGAACTGAGGGAGAAAATCAAAAACTCGAAGCTGCAAAGTACAACGATCCCAATCGACGTTTTCTTTTCCGAGGAAACCGAAGCTGGCCGGATACATTTTCTCCCGTTCTACATACACAGTGCCACGTAGTAGTCTTTCCAACTGCCACGTCTACTTTAAGAACATCCTGTTTCACAAGTGCAAGAACTGGATTTCGAAACTCGCGGCATTCATCGAATTAAGGGAGCATTAATCTAACGGTCCAGATCATTTCTCCTGCTACTCAAAAACAGCTTGAGTCCTTGCCTTCTCTCTCTGCATTAAACTAAAATTCATTCAAGTGAAGAAAAAGAAAGCTGGTCATTTACGCCCAAAAATGGGGAGATGAATTTGGGTATAATTAATGAAGGGCTACAAAGCGAAAAGACGGATTGGTTCTAAGGTGGTTATGGATGTCTACGTTACCACGGAAAAGAGAGGCATCAAAAAGTTCACACAAAGGCCTGAAAAGGAACAGAAGAAGAGAGAAGAAAATAAGGCTGAGAGCGTCACGTGCGTGTCACATGGGTCGATATCGGTGATCGGACGCCGGAGAGTCATGGAAGACGCGGTGAAGCTGTCGGTCGGAGAGATACAAGGGTATGACTTTTTCGCTGTGTATGATGGGCACGGTGGGGCCCAAGTGGCTAACGCTTGCCGCGATAGGATGCACCAGTTGGTGGTGAAAGAGGTGGAGGAGAGGACGCGTGGAGGGAAGGGACCGGAATGGGAGAAGGTGATGGCAGCTTGTTTTGCGAAGATGGACGAGGAGGTGAGTGGAGAAGATTATCAGGGTGGGGCGGAGGATGTGGATATGAAAACGATGGGGTCCACGGCGGTGGTGGTGTTGGTAGGGAGGGATGTTGTGGTGGTGGCCAACTGTGGTGACTCAAGAGTTGTTCTATGTCGTGGCGGCACCGCGGTGGCTTTGTCTAGTGATCATAAGGTGATACGTCAATTTTTGATGTCTTTATTTGAATGGCGGTTTTTCCTTGAAAAGTTTAGTTAGGACTTATGATTTAAATTGAAATGACTTGGAAAGATTAATCTGATGAAATGATTGGCAACCGTAAAGTTTGTTAGGACTTAATCTAAGTGATCAATTATTTTTTAGTAGTACTATTTACTTCGAGTACTTAATTTTGCCCTTCTTAACAAATAATTAGAGTACTATTGAGATGTTGAATAATGATCTCTATTACATGAATCTCATGATGAGATCATCTACATTCATCTGGAGAGTCACGATTATACGAGTATTCTTTGAACATATTCTCAGTAGGTATGTGCACCAACCTCGTATTTGTTCGATTTCAAACTTAATTTTTCAAAGCAAAAGTTCAGGATTTTCTTTCTATAGTGAGGTGGAGTAAGTGTTTTGAAAGAGGAGACTTCATATGCAAAAATGCTAGGAATGATTGGTTAAAGAATGGGATTGACAAGAGATTTTACTTGAGAGATGCTTTGCATTCCAAATAAGATAAGTTCCAAGTCATAATCTTAAATTGGAGGGCCAACTCCTAATCGTCCTCTTCTCATTCAAACTATTACTACAAAACCGAAAAACAAAAAGGGGTATGGCCACTTCAATGGTTAATTCTGTGGCTTGATACTTATAGAATAGTAGGAGCTTTGTCTGAATCATATGCCTTCTACATGAGGGGCTTTTAATAAAAGCCTTTGATGGCTTTTTGTCCACAGCCTGACAGACCTGATGAAAGGGAAAGAGTGGAAACAGCTGGGGGAACGGTCATAAACTGGAATGGAAGTCGTGTCCTGGGAGTTCTTGCCACTTCAAGATCGATAGGTATTGTGAAAATCCATAGTCTAACTCCTGATCAAGATAGATTTATTAGAACAATTGTTAATGAAATAGTGTTAATTTGATGCAGGAGATCAACATTTGAAGCCATATGTAATCTCCAAACCAGAGGTCTCTGTTACTGAGCGAACTAAGTCTGACACCTATCTTTCGTTTCTTTCCTATCTTTTTCTTTTTTTCTTAGATGAGGTGTTAGTCTTTTCTTTTCATTATGCTTTGAAGTTGTATCCCTTCGAGCTTGACAGGTTAATGTAAAGTACGTTCTTCAATAGCATATAGAAAACTATTGTGGTGCTTTTTGTTTAACGCAACAATAACATGTCATTGAAGATTCATTGTTATAAATTTATAATGCTTCAATGATATTTCATAGAAAAACAAAGGAATTTCAATGATATTTTTATGCTTTTGATAGTATCGGAGGCTTTGCTTCCTTTTTCTTTTGTGGGCTGGGTAACAATGTCTCTGGTCTATGTTGAGATCCCAGTATCTGTACCGCCTACAAACCTTTATTAACTAGCCTGTCAGCAATTTCGCTTGGATACTGCATTTTAAGTCTCAATCAACAATGGAAAAAACTGAATCTTCATCTTCTTGGTCATGATGAAGACTTGGATTCCTTTCATGACAGAAACGATAATATTTACCCTGTCCTGGCAACGGAGGAAAGTTGCATCAAATATGTTTTGTAGCCCACTTTGCTGAATTAAACTTTGAGCACCCATAACCAATATGCCTTGAAAAACTTGTCGAAAATCATTGAGCATGCTATGCCCTTTGAAGTAAGCTGCATTACAAAGAGGTTTCTTAGCACTAAGTACATGGTGACACTACTTCAAGGTTCAATCTGACCTAGTGGGATTGCTCCTGCTTGAAAAGGAAGAAAGGGCGCCAAGGCAGTTTTGTGGTGTTGTTATGGTCTAATTTATCCTGGTGAGAATGATCTATTATTGATGAGCAACAAGTGAGGGAACTAAAAACTAAGCCCTCTCGTATTTGAACTTGAAATTGGCAAAATCTTATGAAGCTCGGGATATCTTTGCACCAAATTTAGATCAGGCCTTTGCTCGTGCAGTTTGGGCTTCTCTGACTTTGGACCTGAATAGAAAATCATACCCAACACGCTTTTGTGGGCACTTATTGCCCTAGTAAGTTGACCCTGCTAGTTATTCCATGAACCTGTTGGCTGGCTCAAATGCATTTTGTTCGGCTAGGAGCTCAAGAATTGCCGTTTTAGAAGAGTAGACCCCACTTAGTCAAATCCGGGAAGCTGCTTCATATTATCCAATTGTACAGCAAAGGTGGAAATTTCGGTTCTGAACTTTGCCAATGTAGAACTACTGCGGAAGCAACTGAACACGCTGCAAAAGCACTTTGTCGGAAGCCTTTTAAGGATTCTGATCGTAGAGAACTGCCATGGTGGAGTAAACAAGAGTTGGGATGTGATAACAGGAAACTTCCATGAGAATGATAGCATGTTTAATACTTATTAGTTCATAGGGGAATAACTCAACTGCCACGGTTGAATCTTGAACAGGAGAAGAGAGACAAAAACATTGTTGTGCAAACTGTATTTATATGGAAAATATAAAATTGCTGCAAAGCTTGCAGCATCACAACGCCAAAATATAAAAGGACATCAGCTGCTATGAAGTACAAAGAAAAACAGACTCCTTGCAATCTATCGAGAAGCCATTTGTTTACTTCTCAATTCTCACTCTTTTTCAATGTCTCTCAAAACTATCTATTAGATAAAACTAATGAAGCGGGGGGAGAAAGAGGATGAGCACTGCTTTTTAATGGTCTCTTCACTCCTTTCTCCTCCCATCTTCAACGTTATTAATCTAATATCAGCTAAAACCCTGTATAGCTGAAAATCCCCAAACAAATAAAAAAAAAAGAGAAACTTTTCTGGACTGCATTCTGTATAGCTGCACAATTCTTCCACACAACCCCAGAAACTATGAGGACTTTACTCTGTTTTTTGCGATATTCTTCCTTTTTAAGCCAAATTGTAGGTTGAAACTGAGACATCAGCCGGAGAAGCAGAATGGATGTATACAAACTCAAGACTCTTTCCAGCAGGTAAAGAGTTGAGCCATGATGGAAAACCATAAGACTTGCCTGACTTTGTAAGACCCCATAAAGGACCATAAAGCTTTGATATCGAAAGCTCGAGATCTTTTACAGTTTTGTCAGAATTGTTGGTCACAACTGTGGAATATCTGTAGTAAGTTTTTCCCTTGTGATTCCAGGAAGTTGTCATTTTTTGCTTTATGGTAATTGGACTAGAAGATGAGGCTGAAAAACAAAATCCCCAAGTCAGATCGTGCCATTCAATAATAGCCTATTATAGTCAGAAATAGAACCTCACATCCCTTAATAAATTATCGACATTGTGTTTCCTATGAGAGAATGTTCACCAATACAAAAATTTTTAGGGGAAAATCATTTAAAAGAGAAGAATATACCTGGAGTTGGAGTCAATTTGTGTTTTGGCGCCGGATTTGGTTCGGCAACAACAGGATTAGGAGCTGGGACAACCACTGAAGGAAAGCCAATGTCATGATCATCATCATTGATGGAAAATGCTAGAAAAGAAAAAGTTAAAACCATAATAGGCAGGCTATATATACCAGGAAGGAGCTGGTTGTAACCGCCATGACCACCACCTAGTCTAGCCAATATGCCAAGAAGAGGAGCATTGTTATAGGTAGCAGGCTCTGTTTGTTCATAGTTGTCCCTTTCATCAGCAAAGTTATCATAGGCATCAGGTCCTCCAACCACAGCACCAGTGAGAACATTAGGATCACTGGTTTTCCTGGTATACCAAGTGGCATAACCTTGTCGGCAGGCAACAAATGTAGGATCAACCTTGATGGAAACAATTGAAGAACCCCGGTGGTGAACTTGTCGTGGGTAATTGTTCCCATAACCAACCATGTAACTCGTAGCTCTTGGATTGTCTCCAAGAATGTAATCCACCTGAGAATTTAACATTGCAAAACACCAGAGAATTTGTCAAGGGCTGAATTTGTTACCATTCACAAAGAGTAGAGAGTAAAAAACAGAAAGAGAACAGTAATCACCTGAGATTTTGCAAAAGAAAGAAGCTCGGATGGTGCAACATTGCCAGCAGCACACTTCAAGCTACCCCTAGAGGAAGTGAGGTAGTCAGAGTACACAGTGGCCACGAACGAGGCGCTAGTCACGAACTGCATGTTGTTCCATCTCTGTCGGAAAATCAAACCACCTGGAGTCTTCTGAATATTACGGCTACCCTTCCCAATCAAAGAACACATGAAGTATTCTGCCTTCTGATGGTACCTCTCAAACACTGGTGCATGGAGACCAGCTTTGCCTTGCATTAGGAACTGCAGGGGAAGAATAACAAACTACTCAGTCAACTAATCAAAACCATTAATTACTGATATGATGTCCATGGTGAACTTTTGAAGCATAACCAATAATTATTTGTTGATGAGACATAACCAATTATTGCAGATAATAGAAAGATTTTATTTAGCAGTTGGAAATAATAATACCTTGGCGACAAGAGTCTGAACCCCAGCGTACTTAACGTCCCAACCAAACTCAGTCATGGCCCAGCCGGTTCCACCCATAGAGTCACCATTCTTTCCAAGATAGTTCAAGTAGTACTGATTGTTACTAGCTTGGTACAGCCATGCAGCGGCCCACAACAACTCGTCCTGTACAAGTTCCAAATTCAGAAATCAATTAATAAGCGTCCCAACATGCCACGTTCTACCATTAATCAAAAAATTTCCTTTATGCTTTTTGCTGGGACATTAAGATGAATATGAAAAGCTTACGTTGTAGCCACTGACGGATCGGTAGTATTTCTGGGCAACTGTGATGCTGCTGTCATATTTGCCTCTGTATTTATCAGCAAATTCGAATAGCTGAAAACAGAAAAGAAAAAATCAAAACATTATTGATACCAATTAATTCTTGAAAATTTTCAATTTTGTTAAAGAGCCGTAGGTAAGTGATGTAATATGAGGAGAAAAGCAAGGGTAATTTTGGGGGTTAACTGGGAGCACCGACAGTGTTGGCACGTGGGAAACGAAAACCTAATTGCGACTTTGGAGGATCGTTTCAATCTACGGTTCAGATCTGTTAATACGATAGATCTGTACGGTGACAAGAAGATTACCCGTGATGGGCGGGGCAAAGTGCACCCATGACCCAAATTATGCGCCGAAAAAGTTTACCCGCATTTATTTTTCAATTTTCAAACCAGAAAATAATCCACCAGACGGCACCGTTTATTGTCAAATATAAGTACCTAAAAACAGGTCATTCAAACTCCGTAAAGTCACTACTCCTTTTTCTTAAGGCAAATATATGAATATCAAATAGCCGATTGCGTAATAATGTTTTAATTTTGATAGATTAATGAAAACATTTCTATTACTAATAAAATAATAATATTTAATAGTAATAATAAGTGCATTTAAAACACTCAACGTTGTTAAAAACACAAAGATAGTGGCGGTTATTGAATGGGCGCAAACTTGGGGCCGCCAAGTTGCAATGTCCAGACTGACAAAAAAGCGGGGCAGCGTAACAACCTATTTACTACAGTCTACGGAAGCTTTTGCTAAAGTGCGCAACAACAACCGTTGTCACTCGAGTACACACCAGTCAACCGCTAATGCTAGCCTGAAAAGGCCAGAGTGTGAGCTAACATGCGCCAACGGGCCTAACGGCCCACGAAAATTGTCCCATGAACTGCGAGCTAAAAGCGAGTCAATCAGAGGAAGACTGTGCGAATACCTGGTCGGCGTGGCGTAGAAGCTCGCTGGAATACGCGGGGTTGGAACGGCGGAAGACGATTGAGGCAGCAGCCATGGCGGCTGCGGTTTCACCGGCGAGATCCGACCCGGGGTTACTTGGGTCAATCTTGTAAGCATGACGGTCGGTGGTCATGTCCTCTGGTCTTTGCCAACAATAGTGGTCACTGTTCCCATCTCCCACCTAAAATGGACCACAGCAAAATTTAGGACCAAACTAATTTGAAATGAATCTTCACTTAAATTTTTTTATTTTTTTTATTCATAATTCCATCCCATTAAAGTAGTTCTGTAGCAAACAATAAAACTAAAGTCACACTCAACCCAAGTTTGAGATCGGTTTTTCTTTTTTTACTTCTTTGTCTTTGTTTTTTTAATTGCTGTCCCTTGAGTTTAAAGAAATTAACACTAAGCTCTAACTAATAAAGTAATATTTTAGTAGACAACTGCTGCTATCAAGTGTGATTTAAAATATATATAATATCGAATTCATATGGAAATATTAGTGATAAAGCATTAGTGTTAACTGTTAGCGCTTGAAGGAGAAAACGTTAATGAAAAAGAGGGGAAGGGGTACCTCTCCGTAAAGGACATAGGGTTCGGGGTGAGCTTTGATGAGATAGTCGGTTCCCCACTTAACGGCTTCCAAAGCATGGCCGAGCTCTCCACTTGCAGCCATTTGCTTTCCGTACTCTATTATGCTCCAGGACATCATTGTTATAGTGAATGCCATGGGCAGTCCAAACTTCACGTTGTCCCCTGCATCATAGTACCCTCCTACCAGATCCACCTGTGATTTACAAGCAATCTCAACAAATCGAAACCATAATTTTCAATGCAAAGAAGAAACCCAAAGTAGAGGAACATGTTGGTTTCCAACTTGTTTTTTGGGTAGAATTGAGAGAGTAAGAAGTTCAACATTTGGAAAATGAGAGTGGAACTTTAACTCACCCCACTAGCCTTGCCGTCATTCAAACCGGAATTAGCTCTCCATGTGACTCTCTGGCTATGAGGAAGGTAACCAGATCTTTGAGCTTCAAAGAAGAGAATGCTCTTACTCAGAGCTTGGTTATAGTCATGACCAGCAAATGCAAAAGGAAGACAAAGTAGGAGAAGCAGAGGAGCCATTGGAATGAGTCTCATTAACTTCTCCATGTATTCACAGTCGACAGAAGACGCTAATCAGTATTCAATTCAACAAAAACAGAGGGAAAAAAACAGATCTGTTTCTGCAGCAGAGTTTTGTATACTGCAAAATGGGATTTCCTTCAACTTTCTAAAACTGATAAGAGAAACCCATTTTGGTTTAAACACAGAAAATGCAGTCTAATTAGAGAAGAATGAAAGTAATGTGGGTATTATTTATCAGTTAAAACTTCTGATAAACCCACCAAGAAGAGAAACTCTTTCAAAGAAAGAGGGAGAAAGGGAGAGCAGTGAGATTGAGAATTGGAAGAGGAGCTCAAGCCTCTATATATTGTGGAGGGAAGGAAGCTACCAAGAGCCTAGAAATTGGCAGAGATCAATAAATGAAAATATATTATATTTATTTAAAAAAAATTTCACATTAAAATAATTTCCCTTTTGGAGGAGAGGAAAACGGTTGATAAAAGAAAAGAACAGAGTCATGTGGGTGTCCCTGCCCTGGCTCTTTACTGGGAAGGGTCGGTGTGGATTTAATGTATTTTTGGGAAGAAAAAAAGGAAAAGAGAAACTGCTACAGATGAAAATGTTGTACGTTCAACGTTTAAAATTTGATGTTGATTAAATTAATTTCTCCTTTTGCAGGTTTAACGGCCGCCTTGAGGATCAGGAATTACCCAAACAGGTAAACGAAAAGCCCTGCAGGGTTGAGTCAACAAATTCAGAAAAATTTTAAAAAATAAAACAGAGAGCCCCCCTTGGTTCCAAGACTCAACGTGTCCATAATGCCCCTGAAATTTTCCCAGAAAGCCATGTGGCATTAGCTAGGGGCAAACCTGCACTGCAGAATCTCGTGGTTAAAAATATTGGACAGAATTGGATTTTCAACATTTTGGCTTCGGCTTGTAAGAAACAGCTACCAGTTAATAGTTTTGAAAATTAGTTGACCCACAATTAAAGCAAATTTTATTTTTTTATCAACTTTATTATTCGAAGTTTTAATTTTTAAACCAACTTTCTGGCTTCTGCATTTCTGCCTGTCCGTTTGCCCTTCGAGAAGGTATGGGGAAATTGCAAACCTGGCTGATTTTTTGTACTTGTCTCAAGATTTTCATTTTTAAGTTTTAGTGCAGCTAAAAATTGAAGCCATACATGTGCCAAACAATTTACAGCCAAGGCAAAAAGGGTTCTCTCTCTCTCTTCTGCCATTTACTGAAGAGGGTTGGATATATCAATGCAAAGCCTAAAAATTCCACCTAAAACCATTACTTTGTCCAGCTAAAGAGGGGTTCAGGTTTAAAACTTGGAAGGTGATGATCGTTCATCTCAACATGTGAAAATGGTGCGGTGTTTAATTATCAAATGGAGCAGAGAATTGGCAGAGACCATATTACTTGCAGGTTCCAGCGCTCTAAATATTTAAAAGAGCAAAATTTGATCACATTTGCTCATTAATTTCTTGCAACGGAAACAGGCCTTTTTATGAGTTGGGTATCTGTGCCTTGAATCCCGTTCGATTGGCTGTTTAACATCTCTTCGTACCACAAAATATGGGAGTCATCCGCCATGAATCTTCCAGGCAAATCACACATTGCAGGGCCAATTAATTTTGCCTGCTGCTTGTATCAATTACGAATTCGTGATTAAAATATTTGAGGGAATTTGAATCAAATTTGAATTACTGCAACACTATCTCAAATCATTGAGAGAACTATTGAAGCAATTAATATGAATTAGCATGTTGTCATTCCCATCCTTTCCATCCTCGTCAGTAGGTTTAGTAACCCATACACTTATACAAGAATTGTTCATTTCAGGTATTTACTGAATATGAAGACTTAACTTAAAAGGAAATGTTAACCCCATAAATCAAACTTTAATAGAATCAAAACTGAGAGCAAAGAATATACTACTAGTTAAAAAGTAGTCGGTCAAAAGTAAAGATAAAAATAAAAAGGTCGTCACAATTACTTTGCATTAACAGCCAACCAAACATGCAAAATATAATTAATTTTGACACCGTTAGCAACCTAACCACGTTAAGCCTAAACTGCAGATTTTAGCCGAAAGAAATAATGCAGGGAGGAGCTGTTAGAAGCGTGGAAACGTGGCGGTGTATGTATGGTAACGCCTGGCTTTTTTGCACCAGCATCGCCCAGGACTTGACTGTAACCAGGATTCGAAAACCAGACAACCCGACAAACAACACTCACCACCATTTAATTTCTCTTCTTCTGGAATCAATATTTATAAACGCCACCGACACTATCCGGTGACAGGAAATTTTCCTTTTTTTTATAATTTTCTTTTTTGGGTATGTGAAAAAATTTAACAATGGCATCCGTGTAAAATCAACTGTGCAAGATGACCATTTTGGTTTTATTTATTTTATTTATTTTGTCGGATTAAAAAAAGAAGGAAAAAAAAAGGAAAATGACAAGGCAAGATGTGGTCAAAAAGGGGGTCCCCTGTCAGAGCGCTTTATTCCCAACCGCAATCAACGGTCTCCGCCGAAAAAGAGATAAAATCTTAATTTCTCTCTTTTTTTTTTTAAGACAAAATTTCGTCCTTTAACTTTTTTTTTTTCTCCCCTTTTATAAAAGTAAAAAGTTTTAATATCTGAGGAAGGTTAAAAACAAAGAGATATGGACGCGTATAATAAGTCAAGGAGGCAAGCCTCCGCAATGACCGGTTAACGCCGGTTCTATCACGGCTTCGGCATCATTTCCTAGCCAGTGCAGTCACCGACTGTCGGGATTAGTTAGTTTCATCAGCCCCACGAAGTACCGTCTCGGGAGAAACCTAACAACCCGGGTAAATCTCCGTAAAGGCCACATTACCCCAGTTCAGATAGCGCCACGTTATTATTTAGGCCCCACCAATATATGATTTCACCTTGACTTGGCAAGATCTCGCTAGTGGTACTTCAAAATTAGAACTGCATCGTTAATTTTCGCAAAAAGAATAACCGATAATTACCGCACTTCATTTTTCAAATAACAATAACACTTGAATTACTATTTTTTATTTTTACATTTCATTAGTACGAAGGATTTGCATGTGAAAATAATGGTCTGAGTTATAAAACGATTGATCGTGATCGGCCACAACCCTTTGGTAACATTTTCCTCACCTAAAGTTGGTGTAGAAATTTCTTTTAAAGCGAAAATGTGGAAGAAAATCAGAAAAGTGAAAGCAAATATGGAAAGGGTAGGAGAATGTCTAATAGTATAGTGTTTTTTTGGGTTAAAGGTAGTGGAGATGCTGTGCTGGGGAGCTTCAAAGTCCTCGGCTGCTTTCGCAAGTGGAACTCTCCCTTTGTTGTTGGTCAAGACTCGGACACTGTCCCCCAAAATAATGCCACTCAATTTGCTTTTGCTTCTTCTTTTACTGGTTAGTCTCTTTTGAAATTTGGATATTTTCCCACTGCATCTTTGAATTAATCCGTTAATTATAAGTCATTACAGTTCACACTATTGTACACTTGTACGAAACCTCAGTGCCCTACAGCCTAATAAAGAATTCAAATTTGAAATACAAAATTTGGGCCTAATTTCGTTACTTGTTCGGTTCAATTAGATTATTTTACACAATGCATATCGCTTAATTGGGTAGATTTATATTATATATATTACGACCGAGAATGAGTTCTGACTTGGAATTGGTAGCTTGGGGATGGCGCACGGTTAAGTATACTAATAGAATTTGTTCATTGATTAGTTCAATTTGCTTGCAGACTTTCAGGATTCCGGTATTTTAGCTAACTTGTTCGATTGTTTTGCACCCAAAATTTTGAATTGCTTAACAAAGTAAGATATGCCGATTTGCTGAAATTTAAATGAGTTTGACTAATTGTTAACCTAAATAATCTTTTATGGCGAATCCGGAACTTGTTACTTGTGAAATTGGAAGTTTGTTCTCTTCTAAGTTACTAAACTAGTTGACATGCTGTAGCCAGGCAACATGCAGTCATGGCCAAGCAAACCATAACATTATTTCATAAATTCATATATTACCTTAAGCTACAATCAACTAGGAATCTTGGGGACAAAAGGATGAAATAAAGGGAAAATTCTTGGTAATGAGATTTTTGATGCAGGGCTGATCAGTTTGAACAGGGTAGGATGGAGCTCTGACACATAGAGATATAGAAATTATACAAACTCAATTATGAAGAATAAGAAAAGAAAGGGATCTGTGAGAACAGAGCGCTAGGGACATGTGCTTTGAGATAAATGTGTTTCACATCTTCCAGCCAGGGTCTCTTTCTTGCATCTAAATTTTGGAAGGGCCAACAAGCGTTGTAGCTTAATCAATTCCTAAAGCGGATGCCAATCATTCACCCGAAGATAAGATAAAGAGCATGAAATGTCAAAAAGAACACAGAAAAAAAAAAGGAAAAGCTTTCTTTGGAATATAAATCATGTTTTTATTCTTTCGTTTCTTTGAATTCAGGGCAATCATGAAGCCATGATGTCTAAGTTAATTGTAATTACCAGAGTACTCTGTTAATAGAAACAGTAAAAAAATTGCGATGCTAGACTAGTTAATTAGAGTAGTTTAATCACTTTATTAGTACCTTCAACCTTGATCCCGCATGATAACTGTAATTAAAAAGTGACTGAACCCTAAGTAAAGCACAAACAAGTCATTTTCCTTGGATTCTAATCTTCCTCATCTTTTTATCGTACATATTAAACACATAGAGGAACGTGTTAGTTTGAGGTGGGGATAACCTTCTTTTGGACAGACTCAAGGGACGGAGTTTTTCTGCAATGATAAACAAGATTAGACTTTAAGAGAAAAAGGTTGAACAATTTTACAGGATTCATTCGGGATCCTTTCAAGGAAAAGGTTCTCTTAACTTAATTGTCTCATTACAGTAAAAGTTTTTCTCTATCGAGTAATTTAGTTTAATTTTATTGGATATTTTGATCATAAGAGAAGCCTACGAGGTTGCATGTGAAGAGATTGATATATCAAACTCCTTGGCCTGGTCCACTTCTACATAG